TCGGAACACGCACGTTATTATCCCCCTCCCCCCCTCACCCACCCCCCCAACGCAAAGTCAGAAACCCTGCAAAACAGGGTACGGAAATCCCCCCGTGTGCACAAACAACAATCACATGTTGCCAAGCCCACCGAACCTGGACATGTGCACAGTAGCAAACCCCAATCAAAGCAAACAACAACAATGATCGTCCTGAATTGCAAACAAGATAAATCGAAGGCAACACCCACTTGTCATCTCGATCAAGATCATTGCAAGTGTCATCACGTCCTGCGCCAGCCATAGGTATGGTGATTGCGAGCCTGACGTTCGGGACATGCTCTTGGCAGCGTTCTCAACTCGCAGCTTTTGGCACCAGTGCAAAGAAGTAACTCCTGCTACAAACAACTCGCTCAAGGACAGAAACGACAGAAGTCTCCAGCGTCTTTTTCGGACGTCGCATGCGTCGTTTCGGCATCATGGCGTGGAGCTCAAGCACCGGTTGAACGCGAGCTGCGCCTACGAGACGATAAAGACACGTGCTCCGAGGCCTTTGGAAATCTCTTCCAGGCTTGCCAGAGCTCATTCCGCAGAAGCCTCTCACAGCTGCAGCCACCTGTCAATGCGATCTTGTGGTGGCAACGTCATAGAGGTACACTAGAAGCAAACCCTGCATCTCAGTCAAGGACCACACTCCATCTGGAGCCAAATGGACAGTTCGCTCTGGAGAAGCTAAAGTCTCCTTGTAGACTGCCATGGCCTTCACGTGCGTTTGCTTTCGGCTGAAGTACCCAGTTCTACATCTCAGGCTGGTTCCACTGTAGGAAACATCCAGCTGAAGTCATGACCTGTGACTTCCAAGTTTGCAGACACCAATTTCACCGACACTACTCTGCCTGACAAGATCCCCCCAGCGCGAAGCTTGGGCTTCCATGCAGCAATGTCATCAATGACTGCCTCTGAAGAGAGTTGCCACGGGGAAGCAATACGAGGTCAGCACACAGCACAACGCAGAAACACACATAACACACGTACCTGAAAGTCATGGCGCGCATCCAAGAAAATCATGTCTAGCGATCCATCAGCCTTGAAGGCTTGAAACCCAATTTGGATGATCGCCAGGAGCAATAAAGAGCGAACGTCCGTGTTCTAAGAGCTGGACTACGCGCAAGGAGGCGTTGAGAGAAGTGTTGCGCATAAGCACAAAGCGGCCTCGCAGCATGCAGGACCTTCTTTCCAAAGCAGAGACATGACGTCAGCGCACAGAATCCCAATGGAACAGCCTACAAGTCATTCGTGTAAACAAAGTGCTTGCGGCCAGCTCTTCTGCATTCGAGTATAGCATAATGTTTGTGGGGATCAAAAATGGATTGCGGCACACGGCTGAAAGCAGTCCTAACCAGAAGAACTAGCAGCTGGTTCTGTTTGCTTTATGCTGTAGAAAAGTTGTGCACATGATGTTATGGCCAATTTGCAGAACCTCTGATATCCCTTGGTTCGCGCTGGAGCGATCAAGGAAGGTTGGTGGAATGCTGAGGATCCGCTGTAGCCCCTTCAACTGAAAGGTATTCAGCTTCAAGGTCAAGAGCGGTAAGTTGTCTGCACTCTAGTCTGTACGAGACATGGCTCTTGCTTATAGTGGAAAAATCTCTTACCACTAGCGTCCATAGAGCAAAGATTCGAGCTTTGCTTTGCACTTACATGGCAGCTTCTAGCCAGCAGCAGTGTTCAGGAATCCGTCCAGGGTGTCAATTTGTCACCAAGCTTAGCTGTGCTTTTGTCTACGATGTCCCGTGACATGATGGTCAGATGAAGCCGCACTCCCAAACAAAGAGAACTCCAAAAATGGCAGGAAGTGTCCAGACATACACCATATGCTGGTAAGGATGCCCGTATACTCAGGACTTTGGGCAGGCACACAGACTCGTACTATCAACAAGCTCTTGCAGGAAGAATCATGTACCACAACATGAGACTGATGTACCACAAATGCATGGACCTGTCTGCCTCACGGATATTTGGTACTAGTGCTATGCAAAACCAGGCTACTGTTCTTGGAGCGATTGTAACGCACAGCATGCAAAACCACGGAGAAGATCACGCAAGAATATCAGAGGCTACCTACGTTATAAACCTCAAGGTCGCGCTGCGTTGAACACAGACAGGCACACGTGACAATGCTTTGCAGGGGCGAGTCAATGATGCATCAGACGACAAGCTCTTCTTCATGTTCTGAACTTTGCATCCGGAGTTCGCGTTCTTTAGCAGAGAGTTGCCTGTGCTGCTGGGGTTCTTGTGCGGGTTTCACTGTCACCAGGACACAAGCAAACGTTTCAGATTTGCCGCTTTCCTGAGCACGCCCGAAATTGCAGTCAAGCCGAGGGCCCTGGGCTTGGTTGGCTTGCTTTGCGAAGGGTTCTCGCTGAAAAATCTGAATGCATCTTCTTGCTCTGTTGGAGCCCGCCTGACTCCCGAAAAAGTGATAAGCGCTGGTTCACGTCAAGGAAGAGGGCCTCGTTGTTCACATACGGATCAACACCTCGGCAAGCGATTTGGCAAGCAAGTTGATTTGCAGTGGCCATTCTGAAAGCTGAAATTCTTCCTCTTCTTCTGCCGGATGTGCCCGTAGCTTGGATCTAACTCCAACGGCAAACTCTTTGGAGGAGCACTACAGGCATATAGAGGCATCTAGGCACACGGCCCAGGTAGGACAGGTGCGGGTTGCGCTCCAAAAGCCGCTGGCTGGTGTTGGCAGCCTCTTGAAAACAAGTAGAGAGCACTCCCGTTGACACTGACCTGCCCCATTGCTGGGGAGTGTATGAACCTGCCTCATGACGCCTGAAATTGCTGGGAGTGTATGAGGCATGTCCACGTAATATCTCCAGCCTCTACTCCGATCTCTGCCATAGAAACTGCTTGCTCGGAAACTCCAAGCTTGTCTAACCTGACACATTTGATGCTGTGCCAGGACCTCTCCACCAAGAAAACTCTACAAGGCAACTTTGCTTGGAGGCCGGCAAGTTTGTAAGAGCATCCCACCTTTTCCCAGGAATTTCATGAAACACCTCAACCCAGCAATGAACTTCACGATCAAGCGCTGTCGATCACCGATTACTAGACGCACATGTTGGACATCTTTCGGATCTGGAGCAAACCCTTAGGGAATGCTGGCCTTAAGAACTGCAACCCATAACATCGAAACCTGCCCAAAACTCCTAAAAAGCCAGGGCACCACTTGGATTGAATTCACATCGCCATAGAGCTCTTGAATCAGATCTCGTCCTACGACTCGTCCTGAATCGATGACAGAAAAGTTGAGGACCACGCAGTTTGCCTGTGACAGTCTCAGTGCATGACCATTGTGGTCCAGCTGGGCAAGGTGGAAGTTCAACAGCAGCGTTGCGGACACCTCAGCCCCCTTTTTAGGAGCGGAATGGAGACATGCAAGAGAAGCTCGCAGGTCCTAGGGCTTCAGCATTTTCGATCAAAAGTTGCAGCCTGCGTGCCAAGGCAGCAGCCTCCAGACCGCAACCGCAACAGGTTTAGCAAAAGCAAAGGAAAAGTTCATGCTATACAAGCTTAGATCATTCAAATTGCTGAAAACAACACGGAACAAAAGCAGCGAAGAACCAGAGGCAAGGGATCAACAAAAGTGGCATGGACGGTAAGGACCAGCTTGGCTTCAACTACTACACTATCTGGCAAGACATCAATTTGTAATTTGCACTTTTTTCCGATGCTCAGAGATTGTTCTGCAGAACACCTGGGATGTGACTTCCCGAGAAGTTCGGAGATCCGTTACGCTGGCTTGGTTTGGGCCACTCTTGCCATTGGTTGAAATTTGCGAGTGGAATTCAAGACTAATAATGAGTGAAGCTATCGCACTGCAGGTATCGTGCACAATTTCAGCTTTCTTTCATGGGCTGAAATGGTATTTCTCCGGCGGTGTGCCAACCTCACCTGTATTCGCAGATATCCAAGTGACCATGTGATGGATGTTGAAGTACCATCTGCGAAGGATAACTCCCTTGAATTGGAGGAGTGCTTACTTAGGTGAAGGAGTACATTTGCTTCAGCACGTTTCAGACCGTCTTGGAAAGCCTGGGCGTGCCGGATAAGCGGATGGATAGATTGATTGATGGGTTGGTGGATAAATGGATATTCGTGTCGCTCCTTTGTTGATGTGGAAGGTTCTCAGGAAACACAAAAAATTTGCCGTTGCCATATTTTGTTGGCTGCGGAAGCGATACATCGCGGTATTGTCTATGAGCTGAATAGATTTCTGAGCACTCAAGATCTTGCTGATCTATCTCGAAACGTCTAGGTTGTGCAGGATTTGTGGATACGAATGTTTGGCGGAGAAAGGCTTTTCCATCACAAAGCATATTGTGAAGCGGGGTGGAACATTGCAAAGCCAATCAGACCCAGGGAAAATGCCCACACCGCCGGCACCATCCGCACCGCCCTGCGGCAGACATGATGCAAACTGCGAAGATGGCGCAGACAGTGCGGCTATGTGCGGCTCACAGGCCTGTGCGGGTGTTTCATCCGGTGCAGCGCAGATGATGCGGGCAGTGCGGCCGGTGGCCGCTCTTCCACTGCCCATGGGTCAACCGCACGGATCCGGAGTACAAGGGCAACGAACAAATCCACGAAAAGCTGCTATAAACCATACTCACCACATGCTGACCATACTGGGAAGAGGCTTTTGACAAAAGCAGCTTGCATCCAAATTTGATATTCGGGTCGAGCGTGTGGAAATGGAGTCACGGCCAAGCACAGCCAAACCGAAGGTAAACAAACGTAAACGATTGATGCGCGTGGCTTCATAGGCGGAGGAGCGCTCACAACATGCCTCAGTGAAAAACGCCGCAAAATGGCATGCGAGGACACAAGTGGCAGACCCATTTCTTTTAGATGCGAATCCGACGCAAATCGTCGGTTGCGGATCCATCGCCGAAGCCGGAGCGGCGGTGCATTCTGCACCCGTCCGGATAGTCGTGTGGTCTGCGTTGGACTCATAGTCGATAAAGAGAGCTCCCCTCCCGCGCAAGGTTGGGCGGGAGGGAAGCGAAAAGGCCGACGCGCCGAGATTCTTCGCTTTATAGTCGTATACATGATAACTTTCACATGCAGGCATGTGCTTCACAACATGCACCGGCCAACAACGCCGCAAAATGGCATGGGAGGACACACGTGCCAGACCCCTTTCTTTTAGATGCGAATCCGACGCAAATCGTCGGTCGCGGATCCATCGCCGACTAAGCCGGAGCAGGGGCGCATTCTGCGCCCGCCCGGCGCCCCCAACCCCCGAAAGCGACGGCTCTCAAAAGGCGATGTCGAAAAACGCTTGGGGCCGCAGCCGTAGCATACTCCGTGGACGTGCCTGAGTGGTACAGCGGGCGCCGCACCAGCCCGCCATTGCGCGGGATCCTGCCGCCGCGAACTCTATAAGGTAGCCGTCGAATGAAGAACGCGTTGGCCGCCGGCAAGAAAGGTATGAGCGGCGTGCTGGGGGGTGCGGCGTAGAGCCGGTTGAGGGCATCGAAGTCGTCAAGCGCCAGCGGCTGGACGTCATCCGGCAAGATCTCGACCTGATGTCCCCCGAGCCTCCATGCGCCGCTTGTAGGACCCCCAATCGCAGGGGGGATGAACACCGAGGTGTCCAGGCAAGGACCATCGAGCGTCCCGGGCCGCATGTCGAAGCCCTCCAGTTCAGAGGCGAATCTCAAA